AGAAAGAAAGAAAGAAAGAAAGAAAGAAAGAAAGAAAGAAAGAAAGAAAGAAAGAAAGAAAGAAAGAAAGAAGAAAAAACAAAACCAAACCAAAAAAACCCCTCTACCTTGCCTGAGCTCAGGGCTCTCTGCTCTCACCCACTGAATCAGACAGACAGACCAAGCTCAGAGCTTGAAAATAAAGGCTCTTTGCTTTTACACATGGGACTCGGTCTCCATGGTGGTCTTTGATCTGGGCATAACACTTATAAAGGCAAATCCAACCCATAAGGCCACAGTATTTCCAAACAGGTCCAATCAGGGGCAAGTATATATCCTGACATACTTCCTTCCTGCATATCTCCCACCTACATACAATCAGTGACAAAACATACATCTTGATGTATTTCCTACCCACATACCTCCCACCTACATGTGACCAAGCACGTCCAGTGCAGATAGGTCAAGCAAACTTGTTTATGGGAGTTGAGAACATGTGGTTTGTTATCTCCCATAACCAACAGCCTCCAGCATCTCAGGAACTGTCTGTCCTTGGGCAAGGGGCTTACAGGTTAGAGGCATTTTTTGTTTCATGGGTATCTTAGGCACAGTAATTAACTTAAAACATAACTTTGGCTAATGCCTCATGAGATGATCAGAGAAATAAATCTGTAGTCTGAGAAAAACCTGCTCCACAAGTGCTGCAGCTCCATTTTCTTTAAAGCAGAGTCAAGACCCAGACAAAGCGGACCGACCTCTCCATCCCCACATGGCTCTCAGGCTGAGTGCCACAGAAACCCGAGGCAAGCTTGTCATCCATGTCCAGCTTCTGTTCTTCCTGATCCCATGAAAGATCCTTTTGATTCATCTAGCTCTCATGTCCCCTGCCTCTGGTACCCCCTGGATTCCCTCTACTGGTGACCTGATGATTCAAGCAAAGCTCACCCCTCCCCTCCCAGTCAAGCAAGGCCAGCTCCTTGCACATTTGCAGGAACCAGGGAGAGTCGGGGTTCTCTTCCTGCAGAGACGCTGGGTTAGAGGAATCCAAGCATGGGCCACCTTTAGTGGACAGACATCCCACCAGAGAAGGACAAACACTGAGATGCTGCCCCTGAGACTGGCAGCTTTAGGACCCTGGCAATGAGCTCCTACTTCTCTGGGGTTTAAGTCAGTTTGAACTAGAGTTCCTTGCAAATGGGAGTACTGGTCAGTACTCAGAGTCAGTTCCTCAAATGAAGATCTTTATATCCTCTCTCCTCTTGCCCCATACTGCTCTACACAAATGGACCTTCCATTTCTGGGCTCCCATGACACTCCTCTGCACACCACTCTCCACACAGAATATCACTTCCTTACAACTGAAATTCTAAGGACCATTTCCCACGCACCTGTACACAGGGATCTTGCTTAAGGCCAGGTCCAGCTCACTTTTCTTGCACCCTTTGGGAGGAAAGCAGACCTTCGCTTCTGAGATTCATGTTACAGCATCAGTGGTTTCTCGTATGTTTTGTTTTGACGAACTTCCTGATTACTTAAGACTAACACCTGTTTTCTAGTCTCCCCATCCACCCCAGCTCTGCCCTCATCTCAGACTTTCAGTCTAACAGCCTGCAGTCAGTTCATGCGGTGCTAAGCAGTAAGCACAAATCTCAGTACTTTACACATACAGTATTGTAGCTCAAACCTTCAGCATGAGGTAGTATTATCTCCATTTCACTGGGGAAACTGGGGCATGGGAAAGCTAAGTAAACTGGCCTAGAGTAACCCAGCTGCTAAGTGGGAATGCAGACAGGAGAGATGGCAGAGGTGGGACTCGTAACATATTGTCTGACCTCCCAGTTCCTCATTCTCTGTATTTGCAACATCCTCCACATTTACCCCATGTGGGTTGCTACTGGACAGGTGCCAGGGAGTCGGGACTTCCTGAAACAGAGGCAGTGGGCTTCTGAGGGTCTGTGGAGAGGTGTCAGTTAAGGGAGGGACCCTTCCAGGTCCTACAGGTCAGTGATTTCGTGTCCTTGCTAGACAGATTCACCAACTACTAAATAGCCAGGAAGCTGGAATGTAGCTGGACTGAAAAGACCAGGTGAAAAGCATGTTATAGATTCTGCTCATCCAGTCAGGGTTCCTCTCTGCCTCAATTGTCCTCACAGGGAAGGCTACTGCCTTCAGGGCGGCATCCACCCTCAGTCCAGTGCCGTGCTCAGAATGCTTCTTGTCCACACCTTCACTCATTACTTGCATTCCTCAGCCCTCTAAAAACTTCGCACAATTCGGGTTAAAAAATTCTGGTTTTCTTCTAGTTTTAAACAAGGGGGCGGGGGAGTTCATCACCTCCAGTGCTTCACATCTGGATGCAGATTTATCTAGATCTGCTCAGCTCTGAAAAGGCAGACTTCGCTACTTCCAGCATGCTAGCTCTCTGTCCAGTCTCCACCTCAGCTTCGAAACCTGCACGTACAGACGCACTCGAGCCTTCCGGCTGCACAAAGCCACCTTAACAATGTCTTAGCTACCGTCGCACCCCGTCCTCCTGCACATCACCCCAGTTATCAATGACACTCTTCTGGCGTCTCCCAAGGCAGAAATATCTCCGCAATGCATGTATACTGTCATTGTAAATACAAGGCAGCCAAACTCAGCAAGGCCCGCATGGCACCACGCAAGCTTAATTAGTGCTCACGATGGCTATAATTAGAATCGTTTATTGAGTGCTTCCTTCCTAGGTGCCAAGCGCTGTCTTCGTCAGTTTTCAAGCCCTTAAATCCTTCAAGACAACGCTGTGAGCTGGACAACCCGATCTCCATTATGGCTGCGTGCGCATGGGGCACAAAACAAGGGCACTAAACGGCTCCGTCCCTCTCCAGCAGCAGGTTCACTTTCGAACGTTAAAGAATAAGGAAGGAGGGGAGAGAGAAGTGTCAGGGAAATCTTCAGAAAGGAGGGGAGGGCGCGCACTCAGACACTTCCTAGTCATCGTTACTCAGCACTTTGAGGTGAACCGCAGCATGGCCGTCCTGGTCGAAGGATACACCTCTGCCTGGGCAGTCCTAAAGTTGTCCCCAGCCCCAGTCTGGAAGTATCTGACTTACGTCTGTTTGGGGCATGGCCAATGTGATCCTAGAGGGGCTCTAGAGTGTGAGAGGGGCCTGCGATCAACTTCACCCAGCCGTGCACAGTGCACAACGAAGGACGTACGGTTCCTTCCCACCGCGTAAGTTCAGGGCGGTGTCTAGGAGCCCGGAGATCCCCGAGGCTGCGCCGGGCGCCTGCGCTAGCTCCTCCCCTTGGACGCCAAGGTCCCCGTTGGACCGCGCGGAACGCAGGGCCAGCACTACGGCAGTCCCGGAGCTACTCAAGTAGCCGGCTACGGCTCCGCCCTCTGGAATCCTGGCTTCCGCTCCACCTCTTGGAGGCGTGGCTTGGGCGTGGCCTGCCGAGGCGCCTTGGCGGGAGCGGGAGGCTAGGGAGCGCGTCCCCGCCGCGCGCGCCCCCGTCCGCCCCGCCCCGCCGTGCTCCTCCCTGTCGCTATAAAGAGAAGGCGGGCGCTGCGCTCGGCTGCAAGCTCCGTCCGGCGCCTCGGATCCGTTTCCATCGGGTTCTACAGAAACTCGTGTGGTTCCTCCCCGCGACAGCCAAAATGGTGAAGCTGATCGAGAGCAGGGTACGCGTGCCCGGGCGCCGCGCGCACCCCGCGGTGCTGTGGAGGCCGCCCTCTGTACCCCCGCCGGCTGAGCGGCCCGGGGCCTGTGCGCGCCCGGGGGAGTGGGGGGGGGGGCTGTAGAGCACGCCCTGGGGGAGGGGACCCGGAGACCCTGGAACGCCGGGTACAGGAGGTGCACGCACTGGCAGCACCTGGGTTCCCCGAGCTGCAGTCTCCCGCACTCTCCTTACCGCCAGCCCGAATCTGGCGGAGGTGAAACCATGGGACGGGGGTGGGGGTGGGGGGTCCTCCGGTGAACCCGGGTCTGAATCCGGATTCGGAATCCCAGGGAGGAAATGGAGAACCGCCACTCCTCGCGTGTAAGGTGCCATACGCAGCGCGGGGCGCGCTGTGCCGCAGGGCTAGGCCGGAGTTTGCCTCCATCAGTGGCCCGCCACCTAGAGGACCACTGGTGCCCGGTCGGTGCACGGGGGCGGGTCCCTGTTGGGGACCCTGGGATGGGTGCCCCTCCAGGTGACTGCTAAGGAGAAAGGTCCAGGCCGCGCCCGCGGGACTCCTCCTCCTCCTCCTGCGGCTCAGGGCGTGTTTCCGGCAGCGCTAGCTTTGCAATGACTCAGTCCCCAGTGTCTGGGCCCAGGGGCCTCGCTACCCTAAGGTTTCAGTGACTGACCCGCAGTAAGTGGGCTTTGCTGCAATCAGGGAGTAGTCCACTACCAAGTCCTGGTTTTGCCCTTTGGGAAAAGAGAAAAATACCCAGGGGAAAAACTGTTGCCATATTCGAAGGTTTACTGAGAACCAAAATATCCTCCAGATTGGGAAACCCGGTGCCTGTTACACTGTAACTACTCGGGGAATATTTGTAAAGTGGAACGTGAAAGGGGCGGTGGTGGGAATTGATGTATGGAAGACTGTCTTACAGGGTAACCTAGTTAACTTGTTAACCCAGCTAACTAAGGGAGCCTCCCGTTTTGAGCAACTGTTTGGGCCTGGTTGCGTCTCAGTACAAATGAGTTTGCTCAGAATCTACCCACTCACTCACTACCAGTGGTTTAGACTCGGCGCCCATTTGGGTCCTTACCAGTCTAAACTGTCTTCCTTACGGGACCTTTGCCATTCCAGTAGGAAAGGAGTACATGGGTGACAGGAAACCAGTTATTCATAAAAGGCTTGGGCCCCAAAGGTTAATCTAATGAGCTTAAGTTGGCTGGTTTAACCATGCGGAACAGCTGTTTCTGAGGACTGTATGGAGTGGAGTGATGGGCTGTGGTGTCCTGGTTTGCTTTGTTTATTTTTAAGAACAAAACTGCTATTTATTGAACTTCACACAAGGCACTTTGCTCAGTGCTTTACAGACCGCTGTGTTAGACCAGGGTGTTGGCTCATGCCTCTAATCACTAGCACTCAGGAGGCTGAGGCAGGAGGATCACCACCGTCCTGGGCTACAGGTGAGAACCTGTCTCAAGAAGTAAAACACTTTGTATTATTATTTCCTCTGGGATGGGTATGGGTTTGTGTTTGGGGCTTTCAGTTTTGTTTTAAAGTTATGTGTAGGGGTGGGGCATTCACTTGTAGGGATCTCCGTGCTCCTAGACACCGCCCTGAACTTACACGGTGGGAAGGAACCGTACGTCCTTCACTGTGCACTGTGCACTTGTGGTTCACGCCTACCTTGTGGGTCCTGGGTATTGAACTCGGTTCCTCAGTCTTGGTGGCAAGCACCTTAATCTGCTGAGTCACCTTGGCAGCCTCGGTGTGTGTGTGTGCACGCGCACGAGCGAGAAGATAAATGGTAGTGACTGCTCCTAACTACTGCATCTGTGCAGTTTTGTCTCCAGATCATTGTGTCCGTGATGCAACCACTTACTAATTGTGATTTTTAGTTTCTGGAGCTCAGGTTTGGGATTTGCTTCTTAGTAGATAATTCTGAATACTCTTCAAGCCTCTTTTTCAGAGTCCTCGGTTGTTTGACCTAGATTTGATTCAGAGCTGTTTGGGGGAAACCTTGAGAGTGTTTGAAAATGCAGTTCATCCTGCTTTTCATGCAGTCTCGTCAAATTTTTATTGGGAGTCAGCCATGTTCCAGACGTGGGTGTCGTCAGACCAGCCTGCCATACCGTCTTGACCTTTGTCTTGCCGTAAAGAATGGGTGGTGTGGCCTGTTGGAAAATCATACAAGGGGAAGTTTTATATGAACTTTATCTGCATCAACCAGTGGTGGTTTGGAAGAGTGGTTTCCATTACTCTTCACTGCTTTCCTGCCTCCTGACCTTACTAACACTTAGCTCTCTTCATACCCAGAACATGGGGTTGATGGACCTGGATAACTGGGCTCATCTCTGGAAGTTGTCATGGCTGTTCTGTACTATTCTCAGAAATGACACATGCTTATTTTTCTTGAAAAAATATTAGCTAGAAGTTAAAAAACCTAAAAAAGTAATTCACTGTAGTCGGGGCTGAAGAGATGGCTCAGAGGATAAGAGCACTGGCTGTTTTTCCGAGGATGGCTGTTCAGTTACCAGCACTCACGTGGTTTGTAGTCAACTGTAACTCCAGTTCCAGTGCATCTTCTGGCCTCTGAAGGCACCCGGCACCAAGTGATGTACATAAATACATGGAGACAGAAACATGGGTACACATAAAATTAAAATAAATAAAATAAAATAACTATACTCCGTGAAAACTCATTAGGTTTTTTGTTTTGGGTGTGTACATATGTTTTAACTTTATAGTGGTGTATATATTTATTTTCCTTTTATGGCCAGATCTAATATGATTCTTAATTTGTCTTTGTTGTTTTGTTTGTTTTTCCAGACAGGGTTTCTCTATAAACTAGGCTGGCCTTGAACTCATGGAGAGCCACTTGCCCCTGCCTCCAGAGTGCTGGAATTTAAAGGCGTGCGCCACCACGCTGGGCTGCCTTGGTTTTGGATAACTAGTTTGACCCACATTTTTCCCCTGGAGGAAATGTTGACTGCAGATATAGCTGTTTGTGTTTTGGGACTCATCTTTGTTGGCCCAATCTGAGGTTTGGTCAGCACCCAGTGACAGATGCGGTTTAAACGAGTCCCTGGTAACTAGAATGTTAGGTTCCCAGGGTTACAGTATCAAGGCTTTGGGTAAATAATTCAGGGAGGCTGGTGGTGAGGGTTTGTTTTTTAATCATTTTTTTTGCTGGGACTTTCATGTGATAGGTGTTACTTAAGCAAAACAGCCGAAGAATTTCTTCTTGAGGAACTAAAACACGGATTCATCTAAAAAACTGAGTTTTGGTCACAGGGCAAAAGCCAAAGGTTGAGAAGCAGTGTGATCCCAACTCTAGAGGCCCTGTGTAAAGCACACCGAAGGGGCTGGAGAGGTGGCAGAGCCGTTCAGAGTGCTCCCTACTCTCCCAGAGGACCCTCCTTCAGTACCCACTACCCATGGCTCCCGCTCAAGGGTATCTCATGCCCTCTTCCGGCCTCTGTGCACCAGCAGAGAGAGAGAGAGAGAGAGAGAGACACACACACACACACACACACACACAATCTTAAAACAAAGCACACAAAATCTCTTTATGCCAATGGTGACCTGAGTAGAAGGTCTGTCTCCTGGACTCTGCCATGGGGGCTGGGATCTTTCCCATGTTTCACCCTAGACAAGTTCTTTTATTTCCCCATTGGTTAAGTAACCTGTGACTTTTCCATTGCTTAACCGTGTCTTGGGGCTTCTTCCTTCAGTCTTGGAGGCTCCTTTTGTCAGCCCCTAAGAATCCAGTGTCTTATAGGAAGTAGTCAGGTGCTGGAGATGGACCGCAAGGGCAGAGCACTTGCCTAGCATGTGCAGGGCCCTGGGTCCACAGAACCATCACTACGCCCAGATTAGTCAGCTCACAATAGTTTATAAGGTGTTCCTGGAGACGTGAAGACTTTCTCATTTCATCTTGTCAAGTATAATACTACCAACTGTGTGCAAGATTCCTTTCAAGCCACTTTATTTGGTTGCTTTGGATAAAAAGTAGGCCCTGAGAGCAGAAACTCCTAGGTTGTACTTAATATCTCTTTACTGTTTGCTTGTATGTTTGCTTAGGTCTTTTCCTTTTGGCGGGGAGAGGGGTGGTCTCACTGGCTGGCCTGGAACTGGTCAGTGTAGAACAGGTTGGCCACCACCCGGAGATGATGGCCTACCTCTGCCCCCACCCCACCCCCCACCCCGAGAGGGCACTGGGTTTGAAGGCATGTGTCACACCTGGCCGTGTCTTCTGGAAAGTGAAAGTATGTAACACAGGTGTTTCTTTCTCTCTCCTCAGGAAGCTTTTCAAGAGGCCCTGGCGACTGCGGGAGACAAGCTTGTAGTTGTGGACTTCTCTGCCACGTGGTGCGGACCTTGCAAAATGATCAAGCCCTTCTTTCATGTGAGTCTAGGAGCTCTGGGCTTCGAGGCTGACTAGTGGTCACAAGCTGGGGTGAAAGGATCGGTAATGAGTGGGTGGGTGTAAGGGCTGTGCTTGGTTTTCCTGTGTCATTGACCCAGAGTAGCATTAACAACTTACATAATAAAGTTTGCTGGGGACAAGTTTCAGGAGTTAGCTTTGTTTAAGTAATTTTTTTTTCTCTCTCTCTGTCTCTCTCCTATTTGAAACCTGGGCCTAGTGTGAAATTCGGGCCTCAGTTACAGTGCCAAATTAGTTTACACTTGAGAAACTTTGGCTCAGAGACAGCTGTG